CCTTGAAACAAAAGGATCGCATTTGCAGCGACGGCGGCGTATGAAAATTGTGAAGCAATTTCATTGAAACGCAGATCATCAAGCCTTGACTCTGAAGAAAATCGCCTTAACTATTTTCTAAAAGTCAATGGCGTAAATATTTAAATTTATTCAGCAAATAAACGTTCTACGCGACCGAAGCATTTTGACAACGAAAAATGAAAGAAAAGAGACACAATGGGAAAAATCAACAACGACAGAAGATTTTTTGGATTGCCTTTAATAACCTGCGGCATGTCGGCGGGTACAAAATGATGTAAGCGGAAGAAAGAAAGAAGAGAGGGCCGGAAAAGCTTCTCCCCGAGCGCGGGATTCGGAAAAACAAAACAATTAACTTTTGACGTTATTCCAGGAAATGTTGCGATTTTTAATGCATAATTAGTGTCCTGTAGCTTGATAGGGCCTGTGGGAGGGGTGGAGATAGGTAGTAGGAAGCACTTTTGTAGATTATGTAAGCCAGAATATGGTAGGAAAAATTTTCTCTGATTCTCTAGTTTTGTTTCTATGTCTCCTATTGGAGAGAGCTCTTCCTACACCTTTTTCTCCCACCAGGATACTTAACATGTATTAAAACTAGCAAAATTCGATAGAATAACCACAAGAATTGATTTTTTTGTTTTTAAACACCTCTCCCATCGGTGGGAAGCCTTTTCCTACTCCCACCTCCTTTCCAACCCCCTTCAGTACCCCTCATTATTCCACAGATTACTAAAGCAGGCAACAAAACGCATTCGTAAGTATTTTTTTCTTTATTGCGAAAACTTGCCCGCCTCATCACTCGCGTTCGAGATAAACAGGTAAAAAAGTCATAAGATAATGAACAGAAAAAATACCTTCTTCCAGGAGTTTCACAATCAAAAACAACTTATTTTTTAAACAATAATAAAATTTTTGTACCTACGTCCCGCAATATAAACATCTACAGATTAAGTATGGGTTTATACGAAATTTTCTGAACTTGTCCCATAGCTTCAAGCGTCCCCTAAGTAAAATAAATTTCGTTCCCTAACTTATTTCGGTGAACAAATTTTATGTACTCAGATTTTAGCACGTTTACGATATGAATTCGCTCAAAGTTGCTTAACGGTCATGCTATAACACTTATGTTGCGGATAACCGACGAAATGGGGGTCAAATTTTAGTGTAGCTAGGCTAATATACATTCTATCACCACCGTTATTGCATGCATATAAGTATGTGCCGCAATGATTTTCTTAAATGCCCGAAAGAAATGAGTACGAAGAAAATTTTATAATCTACAAGATTGTAAGAGAGAACATTTCGTAAAGCTTGATAATGTAAGTTACAAAATTGATAGGTGTATATATGTTCATTTTACTTTTAAACACAAAGCGTTATTTGGATAAAGCATACCCGATCAGATAGCATAAAATTCCAATATTCCAATAATGCAGCGTTAACTTTAAAATCTGCCCAACCACTCAGAAAATCAAAGAGAACGTCATTTTAAAGGCTGCCTACATAGTCTTTGTATTCTATCATCACATTTTTTAACAATCCATTTCGAAGCCTTTAGATTTACAAGGTGGAAAAAAAGACAAAAATACGAAATCGATTGATAAACAATGTTACACTGTTGAAAAGATTCAGTCAAAGTACATTTCGCAAACGGCGTTAAAACTGGCGGCAAAATGACAAAGGAACAATTTGCTAAACTTTTTTTTTGTAAAGTTAAACCTTATGTACTCAATCAGAATGTTTATCATTTAATTTCAACAACTGAAACTCCTAGAAAAGGCTAATTTTGAAAACTAATTGGCTGTGAGAATAAACAAAACAAACATATTCCAAATTTCATTAGAAAAATCACTTTTCTTTCATAACTAACTGCATCTACTCTTGCCTAAAATTTTAATAATCATTATTTTTTATTATTTTAGGAATTGTAATTAAACGTACCTACTCACATATCGCGATAATATTTCTTTGTTTTAATTAGCAAATGCGAATTTTAATTTTAAAATATTTATAAAGTCCTCTACTCGTTAATTGTTTAAGAGATTTGTTTCTATTAATGTTAAATTAGCGTAAATGTACTTATTGTAATAATTGTTACAATAGCAGAATTGAGAATTTATTGTTTAGCTGTAGAATACTACAACTCCTTTTAATTCGTCTTTATATATGTAATTACTTCTGAAAATAACACTAATTGTAAATTTTTCAATAAAGGTGTCAAATACAGCAACCAATGCGTTTTTTCTACTATTTACTTATTACAAAAGTTTCAAGGAAATATAGAGATTACATTTTTGGCATTTTCCTTTTTGATGTCGCACACGCGAAAATGCGTAACACGCGAGATGTTCGTATTCAAAAACTTTTCACGCAAAAATTTCACGAAAAAATATTATTATTCCAATGCTCAAGACCTTTAATTTGATACGGAGTACGCATCTGCGATCTACGCAAACACTACGTGCTTCCGAATTGGTGTTAATAAATTGTTTATATTTTAAATAATTGAAATTTAAAAAAATAGTTCTTAAATTCCTTTTAAACTAACAGTAGGCGACATCTACCAATTCATAATATAGTCGTAACTAAAATAACCGCTACAGTGTAGATAACATTAATGGGCCATCTATGGCCTTACTACGAAAACTTCTGCTTTAAAAAAGTACGTGACTGCCATCTATGTTTCACGAAATTCATTAAGAACTAATCTGTTGAGATTTAGGAAAAGCTCGTTTATTAAACTAGGACTTTTCGCAAAAATCGATTCTTTAATTACTATTTTATCTAATTTGAACGTAAGGGAATTAAAAAAATTAATGAAGAATACTTTTACTTGGTTGGTGTTTATTCAATTCATAGGGTGAAATTATTACTGACTAAAGTTCTGTATAAAATTATATACAGAATGTTCTATAAAAGATAATAATCACATAATAAGGCTTAAGAGAAATGGTTTCTAAACGTTAAATAATTAAATATTGAAGATGAAACATCTTTATTAATTCATATGACAACACACATTATTTGCAGCAAAAATTAGTTACAATTAGGCATAGACAAGCACCAAACGTCTTCATGAATTACGAATGAATCTAAAACTATAAGACACATGTTATTCTTTGTTTTTTTTTTTACTCATAATTTTCCATCAAGGCCCTTTATCACTCATAAACCTGTATAATTTTCCTTGGTTTAGTGATATGTTCATATTGTCATCTCATTAAACAGTAAAGCTTAAATCACAATCACACAAACTCTATTAACACACGCACACGCACCCTCACACACACGCCCACGCACAGATCCATGTGCAATTAGGAATTTGATTGCATTCTGTTAATTTTATTTACATATTTACAAATAAAATTATTTACATACAATTGAGATGTACAGAGGGTTGGTTAACCAATGATGGGATGCTTGTAATGTTTAATAACTCAAATTAACAAATGGACACTTTGATAAAGGAATAAATAAACTAAAAGGGAGACTCACCTAATGTGAGTATTATCAATAGTCTCCTTTTTAGTTTGTTTGAGTATCCCAATTAATAGTAATTATGTTTTTAATGAAAGAAGGGAAAATCACCCAAAGGATTTATGGAATCTGGGGCAAGTGTCCCATATAATGGCAAAACTCTTCACTTTGTTAGTCCAGATGCTAAAATAAACTCAGATTATATTACAAATGTTTTTAAAAAAATTTTGACCAGAAATGACCGTCGTCTGTACCTAAATGGTAAGTTTGTATTTGACCAAAATTCTACACCACATGTCCCTTATGATTAGAAGAGTTATAATGCAACTTCGATGGACTTTGCCATTCGGGGGTGAATGAAGAAGAGACTTTAGAGGTGTTGATTAAAGGATATGACAGATTTCAAAAGAGTTACATGCATATAGGGTATGGAAAGAAAAGCCTCAATAATTTGGCCCAAAAGAATGTATAATATCTATAAGAATAAAGGAATGCTATCAAGTAAAATATTTGTAATTTTTTATCTATTAATATTAATAAAGTTACATTTGTTTAAAAGCACCCCGTTATTGGTATACTAAACCTCTGTAAAGCCAGTTATCAATGTTTTACTTGTGTGAGTGCCTTGTTTTCGGGTTTATTTAATACATAATAAAAATGTTTCTAACGATAAGGATATAATCGTAATAATAATAATTACAGTAATAATAAAAACAACAATAAATCGTTGTTTCCCAAATGCAAATTCCTAATTAGACTTGCCTATGTTCAATAAAATTCGATGGATCAATTTATAATAATACGAGAATTACATACGTTACAATATAAACATCTACAGATTAAGTATGGGTTTATACGAAATTTTCTGAACTTGTCCCATAGCTTCAAGCGTCCCCTAAGTAAAATAAATTTCGTTCCCTAACTTATTTCGGTGAACAAATTTTATGTACTCAGATTTTAGCACGTTTACGATATGAATTCGCTCAAAGTTGCTTAACGGTCATGCTATAACACTTATGTTGCGGATAACCGACGAAATGGGGGTCAAATTTTAGTGTAGCTAGGCTAATATACATTCTATCACCACCGTTATTGCATGCATATAAGTATGTGCCGCAATGATTTTCTTAAATGCCCGAAAGAAATGAGTACGAAGAAAATTTTATAATCTACAAGATTGTAAGAGAGAACATTTCGTAAAGCTTGATAATGTAAGTTACAAAATTGATAGGTGTATATATGTTCATTTTACTTTTAAACACAAAGCGTTATTTGGATAAAGCATACCCGATCAGATAGCATAAAATTCCAATATTCCAATAATGCAGCGTTAACTTTAAAATCTGCCCAACCACTCAGAAAATCAAAGAGAACGTCATTTTAAAGGCTGCCTACATAGNAGAATTTGATTATCAAATTCGAAAATTGACCTAATATATTACCGTTACGATGACTTTATTAAGTGATTTAAGTATTAACCGTATTCTTCATTAATTATTGTTACTTTATAAATTAGAATATATATAAATTATTTTACTTACATCACATGAGTGGTTTATAAATCTGGCAGCATTTCCTTTCATGGTTGCATCAACAACCAAGTTATCATCGATCCTGAACATGTAGCATCCAATCCCCTTTGAGTTGTAATGTTTTTCTCTCTTATCAGTAAGCACAGATCTAATTACCTAAAGAAAAAGAAAAATAATTACAATTTTATTCACACTTCTATGAAGCTTTTCGTGTAATAATAAGTTAAAAAAAGAAAAGTTAAACTACCTCTCCCGCATATTCAATAACCATCTCTCCACTTTCGATGTCTCTTAAGCAAAAAAGTCCTCTTCGGTGTATACTTGATCTATAGACGCCAACAGAGATTTTTGAAGATAGTCGAAGCTGCCTGAATCTCATTGCCATGGGAAGATTCGTGACCGAACTTCTCCTAAATAAAATGCTACTGTAAGATATTAGAAACATATTTTATTAAAAGAACAAAAATAAAATAAATATCAATATAACTTTTTTTATCATTAATAAAAAGATGATTCTTTTAAAATTATGAATAAAGAGTAAAATAAAATGAACTTATCATTATTATTATTATCATAATATAAAACAAAACGAAATAATAATTTAGTTACATTCTTTTTACAGATAAAAAAACAAAACTTTTAAATAACATACCTAGGCTGAATCTCGTTTAGTGTAGTGTGGTCTTCTAATTTTCTATGTTTCGATGCTAACCATCCAAACATATCATTTGTTTCGTGCCTTTTATTGTAAGGAGCACATCTAATAGCCCCATAAGATTGTCCTATGAGTATATCATCATCGACAGAACTATGAGCTGTATTAAAATTAAAATTAGGTTTATATTTTACACATTTTGATGCCCCAGGAAGTTGTTCTAAAAGATAGCGTAAGCTGTTTGCTTTTAAACCAAGCAATTGTAAATTGTTTATCAGGTTTAATCCATTCGATGGCAAAGGAGCCATATTATGAGCGATTCTGGCAGCTTGAACCGCTTCAAAAACTTTCGACCAAAGATCAGAAACCGAGTTGGAAGAATAACGAAAACCATCTCTAGTTTCTACAGTATATAATATTCCTGGATTAGAACTACTTTCTACTTTCTCATTGTGCACTTTTGGTTCAGACTTAACTGCTGGCTGTTTATTAACATTGTTTTTAGGCATACCGGGATCATGAATTTCTTTTGCCGACGTAAACGGTGTCTCAGCGAAAGCAGTAATTGTTTTAGTTGGTGATACTGATGTTGATAAGGATATGGATGGAGATTGTGATGCTGCTTTCGGTTTCACTGCCTTAAGAGAAATAATTTGAACCGAATAATTCTTCTGATTGGTACTTTCGGTTACTTTTCTCTGCTGCGGTTCTTCTTTTGATTTTTCAAGAGTAGATTTTATAGATAAGGGAATCCCTTGGTTTTTATTTAGAGCCTCCACCGTTTGAATCATGATTTCTTTTGTTTTTGGTTTTATTAATTCCTCTTCTACAATTATACTTTTCTTTGCTTTCAATATTTCCTCCGAAATATTAGTAGGTTGTTCAGTTTTTATAATAATTTCGTGGGGTTTGTCTGCCATGTTTGCAATCTTTTTTGTGTCACGAACCGACGTGGTCTGCATTGGAAGAACTCTACTCATGGGTCGATTTTGATTGGATGTAGAAACTTTAGGAGTAGGTGTAACAATATTTGTAGGAATTCTTTGCTCGGGCACAAAAGGTGCAACAGGCAATGTGATGCTGTTGTAGGTATTACTGGATGTAGAATGTGCGTTTGCTGCGGTAGTTATTGTAGTTGTAGTTGTTGTAACCGCTGATTTGAGAGTAGTAACTGGTATAGCTGGGGTAGTAACTTCAACAGGTTTTGCAATATTGATCTTGATTTCTGGAGGAACAGGCGGCCGAACTGACACTTGTTGGCTTTGCATATTATTCTGAATTGGTTGTGGAGGAGGTGCTTGAGGTATTTGTGCTACTGGCAAAGATTGTCCATTATTAATTACCGTATTTGGATTTAGCACCACAAAGCTCCCAGAAGATACGTCCAATAGCGGCTCTAATTTACTAGTTTGAAACACTTGGGTTGTTGATGAATAACTGCTATTTGCTGTTAAAATACCAGGTACTGTAGTTGGAAGGAACTGTTGAGATTGCATAACGGTATTCTGTACAATAGTTTCAAACCCATAATAGACCGGCTGAACTGGTTGAGATGCCCACATAACTGAACCGTTTTGATCAATAATAAGTTGATCTGTAACGACTCTTGGTTGTTGAATTATCATGGTAGGTTGTTGCAGACCAGGCACTAAACCTACAATGTTATTGTCAGGCTGTAACTGAACTATCTGTGGTTGTGAATTAACAGCCTGAGTAATTTGAGGGCTAATGGTTGCTACATACTGTAGATTTTGTCCTGTCTGGTGTTGAAAAGTTTCTAAAAATGCGGGCATCATATTAGGAGATGCAATGTGCTGCACTATTACTTGTGGTCCAGAGCTGGTTTGAGGAAGAACTATTGTACTGCCAGGTGCTATTTTAGTTCTTTTAGCTGCTAACGTTCTTGGACGACACTTTGCTCTAATAGGTTTTGGAACTGGAACTGGTTTAGGTATTGACTTCATCCACTGGCCAGGTACAATTCCAGGATTGACTACAGAGGGTGTAGCTAGCATCTTTGTGTCAATGGTTATTGGATTTTGTTGGGGAATATTGAGTACCTGATTTACTTCTTGATTCACTGGCACAGACTGAATTGTGACTTGCTGGGACTGAATTTCAATGGGTGGATTGATTTGGATAGAACTTGGATTGCTGCTTAGAGGAATTGATTGTTGTCCAATAGATATTACACCAGGTTGATTTAAAGTTATTGGTGTAGGATGATTTACAGCAATGGGTGAAGACTGAACAACTGAAATAGAACCGGCGGTATTTGTAGTCTGGTTCAGACAAAGTGGAACAGTACTAGGTTGATTAATACAAATTGGTGTAGTTTGAGTGGTCAAAGGTACAGTAGTGATTTGATTTAGGGGAATTGCACTGGCCTGTGTGATACTGGAATTATGGTTACTATTAATAGATACAGTTTGATGCCCATCGAAAAATGACGGACTTGAACTTTGGGTCAGAGTAACAGTTTGGGTCTGAGGTGTAGAGACAACTTGATTAAAATTTTGAGTTGGAACGGTATAAAAGTTTTGAACTGACTTCTCTTGAATTGGAGCAGGCTGAAGAACGTTTGAATACAGTATCTCAGCGTGATTAGATGTAGAAGGCAATGCTGATGTATCTGCAACAACTGTAGACTGTGTTTTACATTCGTTATTTTCGTTTAGGTGATAAGCACTGAATTCTTCATAAGAATTCATTCCATAGGTCCTCGAGACTTCACCGACTTTTAATTCCACATCAGTATCGCTATTTGTTGTTACATCTGTAATTGATGCAACGGCATCAGCTACTGCTTGAATTGATTGTTCAGATGAATTAAAATCTTGCTCGTGAACCGTTTCTGAATCGCTATCGCTTGTTATTATTTCACAACTTTCCAGGTGCCTCTTGTAACTAGCCTGTGTTCTGTAGGTACACTGGCATCTTTGACATTTAACAGGTTCATCACAAATGTTTGGAGACCATAAATCTTCAGTTTCACGACGTGGTGAACCACATTCGCTTGCGCTACTAGAATCATACGCTCCATCTACTTGTAACAGTTGGAAAAATACATTTTTGTCCCGAGGTACCATTTTACGTTTCTTTACTAAAGGAGAAAGAGATGTATCTAACTTACAACTCCATGTTAAGCTGCAAGATCGCTGTTGACTTCTTGATTTCGATACTTTTTCTACTCCAAGTTGAGGAAAAACTTCAGACTTACTACGCTTTAGTTCTCGGTTCTTTAAGTCGCAAAAGTCATCTTGTAGTTGTTCTTTTTCATCAATTTCAGGAATTTTTTTAAAAGAGTCGTTTAAATTATTAATGGCATCTATTTTAATACCATCATTGCTATTTTGTGTATCAGGATTTTTGAAGTCCACATTAACGAATTCTTCATATGACACAAATTTAGGAAATATATCTTGCATTGATATACCGTCCAAAAGATCTCGTGGCAACTCCTCTAATATGGCATCAGTGAGTTCAGGGGAAAGAATATCAGTGGCATTTTGAGGTTCATCTTCATCTTCCAAATCAACTGCGTCAATTTTTTCTTTTTCTAAATCCTTTTGCCAAACTAAAATCTCTTTTAATTTTTTCTCAACCACAGATTTAGGCAACGAATGATTAACAGTGAAGTTTTTATCAACAATAATGCTATTTATCTGTGAATTCAGCACAGACGTCTTAATAACATATGGTACAAGTTTCCACGGCTCCACTGTTGACCAAAAAAGACGTGAGCATACAAACCCTGTTGGAATAATGGCGTCGGGAGTATCTGATAATACAGGTATAACTTTACCCAAGCTAGTGATTGTAAGAGATCCCACAATTGTATGAACCTTTTCAGGATCCACTAGTTTCTTCTTCTTTTTATCTAATTCTATGTACACAGATCGTCGAATATCAAAATCAGCTAAAGATGAGATTACAGTACTATTAACTGGAAGGTCATGAGAAGGACAATAAACAGTCTTATCATGCATAAAATTGCACTTCATGGTTCGGGCACAAGAGAAATGGAAGGTTTCATAACAACTTTTTGCACAGCATCCAATACTTGCCCCTTTTAACTTACAATAGGTGCATCTAATAGAGCGGCCTCTTGATAAAGCACTATGAACATTTTGTAGTGAACCATCTATTTCTTCATATACTTCTGAAGACCAAAGGGCACAATTTGCGTGAACCCATTCGTTTTGTCCACAATACAGCAAACGAGCTTCTTGGTGACTCAAACCATCACCTATTCCTTTACAAAATGCACAAAATCGTGTATCAAATTTTTCTGAATCAAAATTTTGTTTAATATTCAACTTTTCATTGGGCCACATTTGAAGAATATTTTCAGATTTCAGAACTTCTACGACTGGCTCTTCCTGATGAGTTGTACTAGGTTCATCAACGCCAAACATTTCAGGATCATACCAAGGAAAAATTATTTTTAAAATTGACCGATAAATTTCGACTAACTTTCCCGAATTAGCAGCGTTCAGTACTTCGTTCATTTTTTTGTTGAATTCGCTAATAGAATAAATCTCGTTTGAATTAAGTTTATTTTTAATGTCGGTCATAGAGGGTGTGTGGGGAGCTCTATTAGTAATTTGGTCCATTCGTAAAGGAATTGTCTCAATTTCTTTTTGGTTTTGTTTTCTTCTTTGTCCAATTTTTGAAATTTCATCTTCAATAAAACTTCCTGTTTCTGAATACGACGTGCTTTTTTCAGACTTATCACTAAAATCATCGTTATCATTACTATCATCTTCTTCGTCGTCGTCAGAAAACTGTAATTTTCTTGCCGCTGATGCTGTTTTTGAATTAACAATGTTACTGCACAAAGGACTCCACTTAAGCATTTCTCTAGCTACGCGATTTTTACTTAGAAGTCTTAAAACATTATTAAAACTTGTGCGGAGTTCAGATTCAATGGCTTTCCGCCAGTAAGGGGTGGTATTATTTGAACATATTTTACATAGAAATTCCACTGATTCGGGTAAAAGACTGAGGATTTGATAGTTTTCGTCAGATAAACCTTCGCATTTTGCATGCACCCATTTATTACATTTCGCGCATTCCATCATCTAAAGAGAATACAAACATATTAGCAATTCTTATTTTTATAGTTAAAATACTATTTTATTGTTTATCATTAGCGAGCTCAAGAAACTTTTAATTATCATATTCTTATTGATACTGTTAAAATTTCATATTCCGTTATTGTTAATTACATTTAGTAAGATATAAAGGGCGTATTGCCTGTTGATTTTCTCAATAAATATCCAAACATAAATAAATACCTTTGTATCAAAATCATTGTCATCATAGCATTTTTGACAGAGTGGACAATAATTCCCTTTTTTCCTTAGTTTAAAGCACATGACGCATAAAGGTAAATTTCCAATAAACTTTGTAATATTGTTTGTTCCGCAACTTTTACATCGCAGACAGGATAAACAAACCTGAAAGTTTATTGGGAAAAATTAGTTATGTTTTACTTCAAAAGTTTTAAGAAATCACCGTTGGTTTATCATCCATGATCCATTTACTATTAAAACATTCTGGATGGTATGTTTTGTGGCACTTTTGGCAATTCACTTTTTGTTTATCAGGTTGACCGCAAGCATGGCATGTTGTACAACGGGGACACAACCAATTGTACTGGATGGAGCCGCCCA